TGATTAACTCAACGGGGTACAAAATTCAGCTGATTTTTTTAACCGCCAATTGAAAATTGATAATTCTGAGGAGCCTTTAACCACAGGTCCACGCTCAAACAAAGCACTGGTTGTACATTACCGTTGGTATATATTTACTAAAAAAACCCAGAAAGAACTGACTATTTTTTTAAAAAGTCACATATAAGTAATTATTCAAATATCGCATTCATAAATGAAGTAAATTAATTTGAGACTGAGTAGCTTCTTACAGAGAAGTGAGTATATAAACCAAACATTTTCAGGGTGTAAGATCACTCTTTCCATTAGAAAAATAACCTGTGTTAAAACTGGTCTAATTAAAACTCAGCTGCGATAAATGCAAGACTATTTTGAATGAACACCTGTTAAACTATTGAGAAGCCAGATGATATAGAAAAAATAAAAATGAAACATTTTAGTCTCCTTACACTTATTTGTCAAACCTCACTAATCAACTAGTGTCCATGGTAATTTCCTAACCAGGACATTAATTAGCTTCAAAATTTAGTCTCTTTTACAACCTGAGAAAATTTGCACGTGGTAAACATTTTACGAGTAAAGAAGGGAACAGTTATGAAAACATTACGGTAAGAGTTCCACATACCGACATTGCTTATTTTCCCCTCAGGGGTATAGTAGCCACCACACAGGAAGAAAATGTCTTAAAAAGTCAAATTTTGCAGGGGCAATATCGAATACATGTTTAGAAAATACTTCCAATTTTTCAGACCAGTGTCGAAGGTTTTGTGCACAAGGTGTCAAGTGATGTCTGAGTATGGAATCCAAAACACGCTGCTAATATTATCGCAGGCTTTTTGTTATACTTTTATCCATTTCAAAATTATATCACCATTTTTTTTACATTCAGTTGCAGATCTAAACGCTCTGAAGATGTTAGCCGATGAGAAAGTCTTAACGATTAGTGATACCTTTGACCTGTGTAGCTTTATCCAACCGAAAGTATACGTAAACAGAAGAGACGCACCCTCGCCTTTCGAGACAAGGGTCGACCCAGGCAGGCGATTCTAATCCATCTTGTAAGCATTTACCCCGTTGGCGTGGACTCCATTGATGTGCTTGGAATCGGCGTGTGTGCCATTTGACTGGGGGACTCCGTTGCTGTCTTTCTCGACGGCAGGTTTGGGGGATGGCTTCACCACCGGGGAACGGACAAAGTAGGCCTGGTAGAAATAGTGGGCGAAGAGGAAGAAGTAGCTGGTGTACATCAGAAGGGCAACGTGTAAGTTGCGATCCGTGGTAGAGCAGAACTCCCCATTGGTGCGGTAGTAATAAGCCAGGGCGTTGACTACGACCCCTACAATCATCTGCGACATCTGCAGTAGGGTGATGCTCACGTTGATGACACGGGGTATGCGGACCAGACGAGAGGCCCGCAGTGCGTAGTAGGTGTACATGATGGCGTGGACGGTGCAGTTGACGATGATGAAGTACCTGCCCGGGGCCACAAGCAGCGGATAGGTGTACCATGTGTAGACCATGACAGTGATGTGGTGGTACCAGTGCAGGAAGATGAGCTTCTGCTTCCGGAGCACGATGAAGAGCGTGTCCCCGAGCTCCGGCAGCTTGGACAGGACGAAGAGGAGCGACCAGAAGCCGTTGACGCCGGAGTAGCCGATGTCGGCCTCGCACATGGTGGCCTTCCAGCCGTGCAGGTTCTTGTAGAGGAAGAGCTCCTGCCAGAGCCGGAAGGCGCAGAGGTTGCTGAAGATGGCCAGGCCCAGGGACCACAGCACCAGAGGGCGGCGCAGGTCCAGCTTGGGGCGGTCCCTCATGAACCACTGCAGGCCGAAAATGACCAGCACGTATATAACGCTGGCGTAGATGGAGTCCACCCAGTGGGTCTCCATGGTCTTGATCCACGGCCGATGGTCAAAGTCCTCCTCGAAAGAGAAGATGGCCTGCTGGAAGACGGGATCGATGTGGTCCAGCATGTTGATGGCGGTGAGCAACAATCTACTCTCCCCAAAATGACGAGCGATCGCCCAAGGAACCCCACACGTGTTAAGCAGTACGATCCGGCACGGCGTGCACACTGGAAGCGAATTGATCGGATGATCTGAGTTACCCACGATGCCACAAGGTTATGGGGTCATTTCGTCTGCGGCAAAGTCCATTCACTTTATTCACTGACAACCCGCATCATTTTTGTCACAGCCGACTCACGCACGCAGTGGCTGCTGACGCCCTTTTCGTGGCAAAGGTCTCGATGTTATCCTCCAGATCACGACACGGGAGGATCAAAGCAGCGCCGAAATTTACCAGCCGGTTTTGCCAGTTGAAGCAATTCTCCAAGGTGTGCTTTTCCTTCCGATCCCAACAAACCCGTACCGAAGTCGTTCCGATGAGTTATAGCATAAAATATGCCCACCATACCAACCACACGGGGCCGGCTTCAGGCCTATTTTATGCGTGCATGAACTGCAAACACATGGAGCAGTGGCGTGTTTGCATAATAAACCCACTTAAATGCAGCCCTAGCGACAGATAGAGACGGGTTGAAGGTCGAAGCAAACAACGCATGGTATGCGTAGTTAACAAAATTGCAAAGTACATTGGCTTGTGTTGGTTACCTAGATTGCGCTGTTTCCATAAATATATATGCAAGTAATCTCATTAAGTTGAAACTTAGAGGTCGCAGATCATTTTCTTCACATGTATACAGTGCATGATAACTGACACATCTCTTCTTCAAACTAGGCTACGGTATTTACTATTTTATTTTGGTTACAAGAACCTGATTGGTTCAACTTCACAGTATTTATAGTTTGGGGGTTCAATTTTTCAAAATTTCATCATAACGTTAAACACAGCAGAATAATATCAGAAATGGGTAACTTTCCCAAGGCCAAAGTTTCTGTTTGTCCTCGAAACAAAAGCACTACTCAAAACAAAATCAACTGAAAAACGTATCAAACTCAAAATTCTCCAAGGATGTTGCAGAACAAAACAGGATACTTCAATTTGTCAAAGTATGAAAAACATAGGACTACATGTGTAAATAAATGTAAACATAATGTAACACCCACTCGCTTCCTGAAATAATCACATTTCACTGATAGTGACACGCTCATGTTGAAGTCACTGTTGCATACACATTCATGTTTCGTGTAGTCATGGTCGTAAATCCCGGAGAATAGGGGTATATATCCCCTAGCTTTTTTTGGGGGGGGGGGAGGCTATTGAATCATCCCCCACCCCAACTTTTTGTGGTGGGAAAACTTGAAACTGAGGCGAACTGGATTTTTTATGTCCTTGTTTCTCATCATTTTGCAACACACAACCCTCATCCCAAAATACCTCTGAACTTTTTCTTCAGAGAGACGAGAAATCAACACATTGCTCCTCGCTACCCGCATTGGGTGGACATTTTTTGTTCACACAGTGATCATTATGCTTGTTCACACACACAAACACACTCCACAGTTTTTTATACGCCAAAATGACCAAGTAAACACATCGAACAGTATTGACCGATACTGATCTTGATGTCACGTCTTTATTGAAGCAGTCTCAAGTCTCAACGCACTGCACGTATAATGATTTATTACAAATCAAGCATATGAAGTGGAACGGCATGGGGAATAAAAGGTGCTTAGAACAGAAAATTGATTGGCAGGTGTCTGATCTACATAGAGCTAGAGAGGACACCAGATTTCCGGCCAATGCAACATTCAGTTATTTCCTGGTAATAAGGTTCACGTAACAATTTATAGCCAAAGTTATCCCAACTCATTTAACCATGTACCACACTAGTCTGCAGCCGTTACAATTCACTGTAGATACAATGCATATTATTTCACTTTATGATTATTCCAGTTCACTAGCATCAGGGAAAATTCGAGGGCACAGTCTACGCCATAAAGCCCTTCCAAATACATGTAATATGCGGTACACTCTGAATATTTACACCACAGGTATCGCGGAAAGTATGCAACATTTCTTCCACGTGGATACTGAATAGCTCAGATATTATTCCCTTGCAAAAACCAACCTGCAGTGGTGATAGCTATATTATATGCCACTCCTTTTAAGTTTGGTCAAAGTTCAAAGTTTATATGTGGTAGCGAGGTGATTACTTCATTACTAAAGAGAACTGGCTGTTTTCAAAAATTGGTGCTTGAGCTGTGCAAGTCAGTTAAATGAACAAAAAAGTGGACACTGGGGAAAGGGGACAGGAGTAATGAATGGAAATTCTTTTGCGGAAAATCTGGACCCACAATGCTGGGGGGGACACAATAGCACACACACCTTTCAAAGATCAGAAATTCCAAATATTTGAGAGCAAATTATTCATAATTTTGACAGCCACAGAGTTTAAAGATCTTACAAAGTCAACTTGGCTCACGTTTGGCCATGGATATCAATTCAGCAAGGCATTATGATCAGAATACAAAAACCATATATATATTTATCATTCAGGCTATGCAAAATCTGAGAGCATGACTGATCCAGGGTAAAGAGCCTATGGCCTCGGTCAGAGTCGATGTTGACAAATGATAACGATATCTGGTCTGTGGAAAAGGGGTACGCTGCAAACAATCACCTCAAAGTTCCCTATCTGAGCAGCTGATGATCTCTATTATTTCATATCAACACACTCATTAACATAACCTATCCTTTTATAAACTGATGGGTTTTTGGTTTCTGTAATCCGACACTTTAGAGCTAGCAAGGTTGGTGAGTGGCAGACTTGACTTACGCAACAACTAGTCTTATCAGCCACATGACCTGAGACACAGTGGGATATTAAAACATACTCGGACCGTGTCAGAGTGGTTTTCATCGAATGTATCACAGACCCCATGGGCCGTTTTCCAATACTCAACTTTGGCTCTGTCTCAGGCTTCAACAGTTTTTTTACTAGCTGACTTTGAAGCTGTAAGCACAGTAATCAGTCTAATAGTGCCACAAAACATCAAATAAGAAGCAAGAGAGCCAAAAATTACAGTAATCCAATTTAATTTAAACGTTTCAGGCCCACAATCGGGGATTGGTTTCGGGGAGGAAGCCTGAGACGGAGACGAAGTCGAGTATTGAAAATCGGCCATGATTTCTACTGCAATGACAGAATCCCTGTTTTTTATCAACTTTGAAGTGGGGCAGATATTCTGCCTGCTGTGGCAGTCCATACTACTATACTTCATTTCAATGGACTGGTTTTCGCTTTTCTTGCCAGTTTTTAAGACTCAAAATCTGACATACTGGGATGATCATATTGTCCGGAAAACACTTCTTCAGACGGTCCAAAACCAATCGGCATGTACACTATTGTCACATTTTAAAGGTCTACACTCCACAGCCACAGACGGGGACAAAGAATTCCTTGTTTTACCTTGTTTCCTGCAGTTCTGGTAATGTTTCTTCGACATGAGGGCAGACCCGGGGTTCCAACAGGGACCATGCCCCCCCCCCAAAAAAAATCCAAGAAAAATTTGTTTGAAAAGTTATGAAAGGCAATTTTCTGGGTTTATTTCATTTCACTTTCATAGCCTCACCCCTCAAAAAGGGCATTTACAAGATCATGTGAAAACATTGCCACATTGAACAAGCATAGCCCCCTCCCCCCAAAAAATGTGGTTCTGGTTCTGTCCTTGTAATTTTTGAGTCACTCGGTTTTTCACTGTGACAGACAACGGTGGGGAGAAAACTCTAACAATTTATACTGGCCTGCGGGTTGTGGAAGATAAACACATCAAAGTGTGTGAATGGCTCAAAGCTGACTGGTCTTCCTTTATAAAATCTGGAAAAAAAAAATTGGAAGACGCGCTACTAAACACCTGTAGCAATGCTCATTACACTGATTAACTTGCTCTGGAAAATAAAGCCGGGGATAGGCCCCAAGCTGTTTATGCTTACACGATTTGCTGGCTTGGCCAAAAAGAAAATGGTATGCCAACCAGTCGCAAGGTTGAAGTGCTTGTAACCAGCTGGGCCCCAATTTCATAGATCTGGCTGTGTCTGAATTACTTGGCAGCGGCTTGAAATTACACACGACTCTATGGGAACTAGCTTCAGCCACTACCATAATAACGGCCACTGCTATAGACTCGTGACCCTGATGTACTTGCTCAGCAAACACATCTGACGATAAATCAAAACAGAGAATTTTTTGACTGTATTATAGCTGTGTTCCCTCTTTCACCCGAGAAGACTATTTGCTGTGTTCAGCAAAGGCTAGTGCGCAGCAGATCTGTATTAAAATCGCCTCTGAAGTGGAATGGATGATGCAGGTGGAACAGTTATGTTGCAATCCTACGACGCTTTTGGTCCGCTGTTTGCCTAACCACTCAGCTGCTCATAGCATCGGATCGTCCCGAGGTCTTGTAGCCTTCTGGGCATTTGTTCGCCTCTGTGGATATGAAAAACAAACAAACACAGAACCAAGAATGACACTGACAGTGTAATGAGCTGGCAGATATTGGGCTTTGGGGGGCAATCATGTCGCCATCTGACTTTACCATTTCCATTTTTTATCATCATGTTCACATCCTTTTAATTCTTGAGAATGAAAACAAACCCCAGGACCAAAATTCAAACCCAACTGGACGCATCCTACATCATAAGTTAATGACGGACTCACATCTTTGAGCAACACAACTGATGCAGAGCTAATGCCATTTTTAAAATTAAGCTTCAACAAGTGGGGAACGGATCTTATGATTGAACTGTAACAGCACAGCAAACAGGGCTATTAGCTCATTAGCAGAATCCCATTGAAGTCTTGAAGGTTTTCAGAATTCAACTTGAAAGAGTGTGGTCCCATAGTGAGCCAGTTTGGTATTCCAAGAGCGCATGCCCAAAATGTAGCCCCTCTAGGGTCATTCGGACACGCATGCGAGGTCTGCCTTATCAGCGCGACCAAACGTGTACTCCCATGCATGCATTATTCCAAATGACCTTGTTTTTTTTTTTGAATAGCGAACTGGTTCACTGATTGGGGAGACAGGTCCAGATCGGAGGGGAACTTTTTGTGTCCTTCCAACCACGGCAGTTCAGCCATCAACCCCTCTGAGGTGCCTATGTACGTACCCCCTGACCCTGTTTCTGTTTGGATGTCCTGGGATGTGCGCTGGAGTCTTCCCTCACTTGCAGGGATGAGGTCAGCCCGTCGGGTTCGAAGGTCATGGTGGTGGGTGCTGATGGCTGCCTGCAAAGAGCAACAGAGTTGACTGTGAGAGAATAGCCGACCACCACAGAAGCTTTGATGCTGTTATGTATGTTGGGTTTAGATGCATAGCCGCGAGTGCCCAAAAAATCGGATAAAGGAGCTGGGCCTTGTAACAAAAGACTGTACTCGGAACTAAAGACCCAGCTGCTGGGAATTGCCAACATTTTTCAGCTGGCGTTAGCAGAGGTAATCCGTCAAACAGTATACCACTGTTTGCAGCATTCAGCACCTGCGGATTTTCAGTGGGGACAAAAATGCATCCATCTGGCCACATTTGAAAAGACGCCACTGCCATTCAGCAATGCACTGGGCCAATTTCAGGAACAAAGGAAGTTATGCAACACCGCACAATCTGGGCTCTTTTTACTCGGCAGCAGGCCCGGCTGCAATACTCGGGCGTCAATGGAGGTTGCCTGTCAGATTAGAGTAGCCATCAGATAGTCATCCGCGTGGGTGTAGATGTCCAGTAAATGAACTTATGAATTTTTTGAAGAATTTTGAAAACGGAAGATCTTGAATATTGCATGGGAACTTGTCCCGCATATGCAAATTCCACCCGTCAGGAGTTGGCTAATAGCAAACTTGAAATTTTGCTCACAATCCCGGTGCATGCGTTAAGTTTGCCAAGAGTAAATGAATAAAGAAACCTTAAACAATGGAACGTTGTGCTCATTCAGCTTGGAGTTTGAAGTTGTTGCCTGCTATGATTGCTATTCTCATTGACAAGGAAATCTGAGCCAAAGAATAAAAAAAAAAAACAGAACAGCACAAAACAAGCAGACCACTAAAAAGTGCCTTACACATCCTTAGAAAGGCAAATTGGAGTTGTACGTCGCAATACCTTAGACAAAAGTGACAATGCATCAAGCATCAACATAGAAAAGGTCATTCCTTGAACTCGGTTACTGAACTCACTTTGACCTCTGCGTCCCACTGCTGTTGTCCCTCCTATCAAAGTCTCTGCCCTTGCGCGGGTTGGCCCTGTTGGGGAAGCTGGGAACGTAGCCATTACCCGGGTAGGAGCCAGGGGGCTTGCGAACCTTCTGCCTGGCTCCCGGGCCCCGGCGCTGCTGTGCAAGTCTCTCCCGGTAGCAGAAAGGGCCGGACTCGGAACCAACTGCCGGGGAGTCATCGGATTCCAGTCCAGAAGACAGAGGCAAATTAGTCTTCTTTGGTTTGTCTGTGGAAAATGGCATGAGTTCTCATTGTGACTTCAGAATTAAGTCTCTGCAGTGGAGTGAGTGAAGTATTAAGATCGTTTCTGGATTCAAGATTGGATTTTGTGCTCAGAACGACAAACTTAATTTCACAACATAAACAGCAAATGCATCATTTCGGCCATTTATACTTTCAAAAAATCAGGCAGGAGTGAGGTATGTTGCAGATTGACTACCGGTCCTTGATTGACGACACTTGTAACTAGCACCACCCCTAGGGCAGATAATTACTCACAGTGGGGACTGTTGTTCATCTCTCCCCCTTGTCTTGGGTGCACTTTTGTTCCGAGCAGCTTGTCCAGTTCCTCATCATCGCAGTAGACATCGGGACTGTCAGGAAATACCGGCAAAATCACTGGCATCCTAGCAAAGCTCTTGCTCTGAGGATGATCCTCACGGCGCCTGGCCTGTCCCCCAACAGCTGCATGTACAGCAAAACAAAACACTGGTTAAAAAAAAAAAAGGAAGGGCGATGTGCCCTGTGACATTCCGCCTGGCAGTACGGGTACATACACCAGGCAAGACGGTCAACTGCAACTCCCCAGCCTTACAGTGACCATCGCATGAACCAACTAAATCCTAATTTCATTTTACGTATCTAACGATTTCTCCAGTAATTATTGTACAATCAGTTGGGTTTTGCATTTCCAATTAACACATTACTCCTGGTCACAAGAAGTTGATAACAAAAGATACAATAAGAAAGACGGACGGATGGATAGCTGACCAGCATGAGGAGATGGGGGTAACGTGACCTCCTGCTGCCGGGGATTGTAAAAAGGTCACGTACCTGTATTCTTTGACTTTGGTTTCTGAACGGCACCTCTAGTTGGCAGGCTAGCGACAGCTGCAGTCGGCCTGGGGACCCCATTGGTACCGTGGAGGTACTTTTCTGATGACGAGCGAGCAAACGGCACTTGGGCTTGCTGGCCGGTTCCCTGCTGCTGCTGGCTGGCGTCCGATGGGAAGGGGGGCGCCAGGACAGGGTTTCCGAACTGACGAGACTTTGGCTGGGGAGCGTGATTTCCAGACTTGGACCTTTGGACTGGTATTGTGTCTACGTCAGTGCCATTGTCATCATCCATGCTGGGACCTAGAAACCAGTGTCACATGAAAGGAAAAATGCGTCACAGAAGAGCTTGAGCAGACCGAACAGAAAATACCCCACACACATTAGCAACCTACCAGGTTAACGTAGTGGTTCTTTCCTCGCCTTTCACCTCTGGCGGCCAAACTCAATTCCTGGCTCCATCATCGTGCTGATTTGGTTTTCAGTGCTGTGAGTTTCACCCAGAAAACTCCTCTGGGGTTTTCCTCCCCCCTCTTAAACTGTACCTACTTCTTAATGTCTCCTCTCGGCCGCCTTCTTCAGGCTCAGGCTCACAAGCTACAGTGCCCTCTTGAAGAACTCCTTGGTTTCACAACCAGAAATACCTCATAATTATATCCCCGCAGGGAGGAAACCTCCACCAATGCATGAATATGGGAGCTGTCAGAGGGAGACTTTTTGGAGGGGATGGGGGCTACAATGCCAGTCACTCTTCTTGTCTTTAAAGAATGTGCTACAGTCAGCTGAGAGGGTTAGGGGACCGTGGGTACGTGAAGGGAAGAAAGAATGCCTAAGCCCTCCATTACCATCTGAAGGCAAAATAGAAGGCAGCTACAGCTTTTAATTTCAGGTTTTTTTTATTCTTCTGAGTGCTGGGCCGTTTCCGTTTTGAAAGCACAATTAAGTGCGAAGGAATCGAAGCGCATGAGAGAGATGTCGAAAGAAAGTGCCGTCTCCATACCCGGGAATACAGGTGCCTGCTGGGGTTTCTTTGGTCTGGTGGGGAAGTCTCGCGGTCGTGGCACCCGCTGCGGTGATGGCCTGATGGGGCTGTCACTCGGCTTGTCTCTCCTTGAGGGCAACGACCCCGGGCCGGCCGGTGAAGGGGTCATTGTGCGATTTTCGATACAATTGACCTGAGCAGGTTGACACAACAACAGAAAAGGACTGAGCCCACTTGAAATTACACTTGAGGATTAACCGCCTTTACTGTCCAAGGCATTCTTTGGGGACCTTCTAGAATCTGCTACATCCTGGGGCATGTTTCAGTTACCTGAACAATGAACACGTTTCAGCTTTGGTCATTGGTCAAGTGTTTTAGCAACTTGGTTATGCCTCTGTGACGTCATTGCTCTGACCAAACAAAAACCCTAAGGTTGGACCTGGTTCAGCACTGGTTTAAATGGCAGAAAATAACCGACAAATTTTGTCACCCCTAAAATGAGTAAAATGTACATTTTAAAGTTTGTTGTCACATGTAGCAAATCAAAGAGAAATTTCTTCTAGAACGTAAGTGAAAAGAGAGAGCACCACTGGAGAGAAACAAGCCAAATATTGATGTCTTGCGCCTGGCTCTGTCAGATGATGTTATCGTTTCTGTTTCTTTGTTTTTGTGGGCCACCCAAGACATGTTCCTGGTTATTGCTTTGACGTCAAAAACATGCTTCTGGTTAGGGGGCGCCAAAACATGCCCTCGTAATTAATGAGACTTTGTGAGCCTGCTTGTTTCATGCAAATCTGAATCTCCCTCAGAAATCCATCACTGGTTCACTGACACCAGAGCCCACCCAGCGGACGGAGCGGCCCAGCATTGGGATCACTGATCAAGATCAAAGATCTGCATGAAACAAACAGGTCCTGCGAAGTCCAGTTCAGTCTAGAATCAAGCAAAGCAATGGGTGAGCTATTTGCAGTTTTTGAAGGGTTATTAAGGCTCATGAGGATGCCTCTTGAAAAGAGTCTGATATATAAAAAAAATACTCTTCAGAAATAATCTCTCCACATTTCATTGCCTTTTCAGCCCCAAAGTCAAAGCCACACGAAGTATTTTCGTTCATATTAGTAACCACCCTGAGCATTTAGACTAAAAACCCTGAAGGTTTGCTGTCAGGAGATGATGGACAGAGCATACTGTCCGAAATTAACAGGTTCTCTTCAGAACTTGACAAGGTCGCAACACAGATTCACACGGCACTACTTTAAAACTGCTATGTCCGCCATGCAAACCTTCAACTTATATCTACTTAAGCCAACGACCACTGTTATCACAGTGAAAAGCCTGTAGAGGCTACCAATAGCCAACGGGTGAATGACTGTACTCCCAAGCTTGAACAGTTCCAGCCACCACACGATGCGACAGTGGCACATTTCAAAAGGGGCTGGCTCCCCCCTGGCTTCGAAATATCAACTAATGCTGCTGGTATTGAACTGGCTAAGTGCAGCCAGCAGGGTCCCACGGATTTGTGTGCCGGTTTCTCCATGTAGCGTTTGGCGCGGTTAGGGTAGAGAAAGGAGCAGGTACCTGGTGCATGGGTAGGGCGTCGGCGGGCAGGAGCTCCTCGCAGAATTCGCAGGGTAGCATCAGGGTGTCGTCAGTGTCGTAAGGAGGTGCGCTGTCTGACTGGACTACGGGACTGTACCTGGTGATCAGTGTATGAGGCAGTCAAGGGTACAGCGAGTTCTTCATAAAACCTTTGACAGGGGGGGTTTCACTCAGATCACACCTAGTGCGATGGGTGTTTGGGTCTAAGAGTGGGCAACCTGGGGGGAAGGGCCCCACACCTTTGGGGAGTGAGTTTCCATCCTATAAGGGGGCTTATTACCTTTGGAGGACAGGTCCCTGTGATAGGCATTTACTCGTTATGGAGGAGATCACATCCTTGGAAGGGATTCTAAGTGGGAGGGGGGAGTTACAACCTTGCAGGGGTAAGAGGGGCCCCCCCCTGGAGTTCCAGCCCTAGAAAGGAGTTCACGTGTTTGGAAGAAGCTCACATTTTTGAGGGAGCTTGACCATTCAAGGTGGGTAACACCCTTCAAAGGGGATTACATCCTAAAGGGCTGTTCAATTTCATACGCGATGTGAGATTGCAAAAATATGCGAATTTTGTGACGCATGATGTAATATCCACGCTGTGACTTTGCAAGAGTTACACATATTCCAACTTTATTAACGGAATTCTCCGCAAACGACTTCAAACCCACTTTGCTTCCCCATTCACCTTATTAATGTATTGGCCTTCTGATCTAAATTGGCCCTACATTTGGCTTAAGAATACCTAAGTTTGCTACGTAATTACATATGTGTACTGGATGTGAACCTGGTACCACTGAAATGCCGGACTGGTACCAAACTTGCATGAAACAAAGTAATGCTTTGCCTCTGTACAGAACAGCTGCAGTACAGGTTGTGAGACATGCTCAATACGTATGACTGAATCTCACAAAATGAGTCTCCCGTAAAATTTCTCTGGCTTAGTTTTTCAGTTGCAATGGAAAGAATAAACGCTGCTCGTTCTGATGTGCCACTCTTGTAGACATGCCAATGAATGCGGACATTACACAAACGGAAAGTTAACGATTCCTCATGATTTCCCGGCGGAATTACTATTTTGGCCTTTTGATATTTTGGCCTTTTGATATAAACGGGTCTGGTAACTGTAGTCCCATTTTGTCGGGGTGTGTTGCGTCGCACAAGTCTCACTGGTTATCTCAGTGCTTTCCCCTATCACAGAGTGACGTAATCGTTACGTTGTTATCGTCCTCACAGGACAGTTCCTTACCCAGACGGGGCTGGTCCATAGCTCAGGTTGTTCAGCACTTCCGACGGTGGCAGCAGTTGGCTGGGTCCTCTTCGTCTACTATTATTGGCTTCTACTTTCTCCTCTCGCGGATGGCTTGTGAGGTCGGGCCGGCAACCAGACTGAGGGTAAAGAGTACGCTTGGTTACTTGTCGGTTAGATGAAATCGTAATAAGTATTTCTGTAATTATAAGACAGGCCTGTGTCGTTACCAAGTGCTTTTCCAGGTCAGGGGAAAAAACAGAAATGGTAGAATGGGAATCGGGCTTGAAAACCCAACAGTATGAGCCCTAGTCCTTCAGCAAATATCTGCATATTTCTTTCAAAAGGCCAGTCCATACTACATGAAAGTGAACGGAATTAAACATCACAAAACATTTGCAGCAAAACCTTTGCTCAAGATGAAATAAGTTCAACTCTAGCAAAGTTGCACGAGTTGCAGCTTAAATATTTAATCTGATGTCACAAATTTGTGTTATGTATGAACTGGCCTTTACCCATTGCCATCTGTGAGCCTGATCACTTGTATTCCACACTATTTAAGCAGAGCAGCCAACACTGCCTTGTTACTTCGGCCTGATTTCCACTACCTTGACTAATCAAAACCTCCTTATTAATTCTCTGGTACAGAATCAAGGACAAGTTTGTGCTATGTACCATGTGCTAAGCACTGAGTGGTGCCAAGTACTTATACTTCAGTTTACTTAAGGACTTTGAAAAGGACTTGACCGCAATACAGCGATAGGCATGCAAGCCT